AAAAAAAAAAAAAAAAAAAAAAAAAAAAAAAAAAAAAAAAAAAAAAAAAAAAAAAAAAAAAAAAAAAAAAAAAAAAAAAAAAAAAAAAGAAGTAAACAACCCATCTCATGTGGCTGCTGTGTGGAGTTGGTGGGATCTAGATGCTGAGCTGTTGTCATCTGTCAAGCCCGGACCTGCTGGCAGGGCCTGAGGATGAGGAGCCTGCAGTAGGCCCACCCCCAGGAGTGAATGGCAGCCCAGGGCTCCGGGACCCACCAAGGTGAGAGGCCGATCTCTGCATCCCAGCCCTCGACAATGCGTCCGCCGATGTAGGATCCCAAGAGCTCTTTTTCAGTTTTGTCCTCCAGAAACTTCTTCTCAAACAGAGGTCGCAGCCCACAGTCTGCAGAGCCAGCCAAGGGGTGAAGGGCGAGTCCCGGCCACCAGCCCCACAGCCCCGAAGCCCCATGTCCCCTCCAATGCCCACTACCTCACCTGCCTCCCCCAAGCCGAAGGTCCTCGGATCGAAGAAAGCCTGGTACTCAACAGTGGAGGTGCGCCCTCTGATGGCCCCCTCTGGGTCCTCACCCAGCGCATCTCCTGGCTCCTCATCCACCACGTCCTCTGTTGAGACCCAGCCACTGACTGAGACTGGGCTGGGCGATTCCTCACCCATCCCCTAGATCACCCCAATTCCGCTACAGGCCATGGAGGCCATTTGGCGCAGAGGTTAAGCATACAGACACACTTGGGTGACTAGACAATAACCTCCTGGGGCCTCAGTGTACTTATCTATGAAATGGGCATGGGATCTTACCCCCACCTGGTTACTGTAAGGCTGTAATAAGCGCACTCAACGCGCTAAGTGTTCAATAAGCAGAAGCAACTGTTGTTATTCCCACCAGGATACATCCCTGTGCCTCAGGCCCTCCACCCAGGCAGCTTACCACAATAGTTGAGGTCACAGTACTCAAAGTCGCCAGGCCTCCCGGCCACATAACACCACGCGCCCTCCTCATCCCCGTCTGGGTTGCGGCAGAAGTTCTCCACCAGCTGCACGTCTGAGCTGAAGTCCTGGTTCTTGCTCAGGGCCTTGGCTTGCGGGCTGGCCCAGGCCAGGCAGGGGAGCCCACTTGTGGTCACTGCCAGGCGCCCCTGGTACTGCCGCCCCCGATCGGGGACACACTGCTCCGATGGAGGTGACAGATTCCCCCGGGAGCCTCTGGAGTGTGGAGTCATCACTACAGTGACTCGATCCTCGCCTGGTGGGTGAGGGGGGAGGAGGCAGCATGTGTGAGACCACACACGGACCGGAACAAACAGGGATGTGAACCCCGTTCTTGCTGCTTTCTGCCTGTGTGGCCTCAGGTTACTTAACCTCTCTGGGCTTGTTTGTCTGCCTTTAAAGGCGTTATTAATGCCACTCTTGCAGGCTTGCTGAGAGAATTAAAATATACAGCATTAAGTGTCTGACACAGAATAAACCAGAGACAGTAACCAGGTTTGGCCTCCTGGGTTACCTGTGGTCTGCTGGTAGTGACTGTCTGAAGGCTGCCGCAGGCACCTGGGAAAACTCTTATGCTGATGGCAGACACAGAAAACAAGGGACAGAAAAGCGTCATCTGTCCTGAAGGCCTAGGCCCAGAACAGGCAGTCAGCCCCGCTCACGTTCCGCTGGCCTCTTGGGCAATCTGTAGTCAGCTGACAGCGGCCGCCTGCAGTGGCTGGAGGAGTTTGTGTTTTTATAGGGCACAGCAGGAAGCTTGCTGGGATCACTAAGATGTTCACCTGGATAGTAGGTCAATTTCCGCAAGCCTGAAACTTATTTATCATCAGTCTGTGTGTGTGTGTGTGTGTGTGTGTGTGTGTGTGTGTGTGTGTGTGTGTGGGAGTTGTGGGGTAAATGGTAGCCTTTTTCGTTAGGATGAACTTGCTATAAATCCAATCCCAGGAGCCAGGTGGTGGCTCACACCTGTAATCCCAGCACTTTGGAGGCCGAGATGGGTGGATCACCTGAGGTCAGGAGTTCGAGATCAGCCTGACTAACATGGAGAAACCCTGTCTCTACTAAATATACAAAAAATTAGTCGGGCATGGTAGCATGTGCCTATAGTCCCAGCTACATGGGAGGCTGGGGCAGGAGAATTGCTTGAACCCAGGAGGTGGAAGTTGCAGTGAGCCAAGATTGTGCCATTGCAACCAGCCTGGGCTACAGAGTGAGAATCTGTTTCAAAAAGAAAAAAAAAAAAACAACCCCAGGAACAAGCAATGGGCCCAACAGGGATGCTGAGAGAACAAAGAACACCAAGGCACGTTTGTGGACTGGTAACCAGCACCAATTCTTTACCCCTGCCTGCATCCCCATCCATTGCTGTGATTGTATAGGCAGAGGTGTAGTTCATTTCTCGACTCTGGCCTTGAACCTAGACTTCTGGTCAATGGAACGTGGGCGGGGCTGACCGTACGTGTTCGGAGCCTAGGTCTTCAGGGCAGATGACCTTTTCTGTTTGTTGTTTTCTGTGTCTGCCATCAGCATAAGAAGAGTCTTCCCAGTTACCTGCTGCCTTTTTGCCTCAGCCCCAGCACAAACGCACGTGGAGCAGATCTAGGCCCAACCCTCAATGAGGAGCCAGGCTCAGCTGGAACCATTGTTTGAATCAGAGCCACCCAGCCATGGCCAGCCTCCGTCAATTGACCCTATAGATGCATCAGTGAGTGCAGCTGAGATCAGCGGCATCACGCCCGCCAACTCTCGGGGCACAAGGCTTGCTCTGCGATACTCAGAACGGAGCGTGTGGACTGAAATGGCTAGGGAGGGCTTCTCAGAGGGAGGAGTGCCTTGATCAGAAAGGAGGCATGTTTGGAATGAGCCACAGCCTGGACCATCAGGAAGTCAAGAGTGGGGAGGGGCAGAAGGAGGCTGGCAGATCCCCCTACTCAGATCCCCTGATTCCCTGACTTCACTGAGCAATAGACATAGATATGATTTGAATGACTGATACCAGCTTTGAAGGTAGCTGGCATCTTTTTTTTTTTTTAAGGAGTTTCATTCTTGTTGCTCAGACTGGAGTGCAGTGGCATGATCTCAGCTCACTGCAACCTCTGCCTTCCAGGTTCAAGCGATTCTCCTGCCTCAGCCTCCCAAGTAGCTGGGATTACAGGTCCCCACCACCACACCTGCCTAGTTTCGTATTTTTAGTAGAGATGGGGCTCTGTCATATTGGCCAGTCTGGTCTCAAATTCCTGACCTCAGGTGATCCGCCTGCCTCAGCCTCCCAAAATGTTAGGATTACAGGCGTGAGCCACTGCGCCCAGGTAGCCAAGCATCTTGGTTGCCATCCCAGGCTGCCAGGCCCCAGGAAGCCCCAGGGCCTTGGCTGTAGGCCGCCTCATTGCCCCCAGCTCACCACAGACAGGGATGCTGCATTCCTCCCTCCGCACGGTGGGGTCCGTAGTGTAGCACCAAGGTCCCATGGTGCTGCTGTCAGGGTTGCGGCAGAAATTCTCCTGCAGGTCGGCCTCGGGATGGGTGGTGGAGTTGATTCTGGAACAGAAAATTGCCCAACAGGAGGCTATGCCCCACGGGGTGTCCTTGCTCCCTGTTCTCAGCCCTTGGTGGGAAGGCCGGCTCATCACTCACTCAGGCTTATGTGGGTAGCGACTCCTCCATAGCTGGCACTCAATGCCTGATGCGGTGACGTTGACATGCCCTCGGTAGTTCGTACCAAAACCCTCTGCACAGTTACCTGTGGAGACCCCACCCTGGTCAGCCTTGGAGCCTGGAGACTTATTTCCTCTCTCCCAGCAAAGTTGTGTCTATCCCCCGCCTCCAAGCTCGCGGTGGTCCACAATCCTTGACCTGCATTCACCCAGCTCCTCTTCCTCTCCATCCTGCAGTTCTCCCATCCACTCAACAGTGGCCTCCAAATGTTCGCTGAGTGCCCACCATATGACAGGCACTGTTGGGTGCTCAGCTCAGCACACATCGACAAATAGGACAGTTATAGCCCTGCCCTCATGGAGCTTCCATTCAGTGGCTTCTCTTGGCCAGTGGGATGAAAAAGTGACCAAAGTCCTTTTCATCTGGCCCTGGTCTACCTGTCCCTGCTAGCTCGGCTCCTCGTGCCTCTGGGTCTTTCCACAGGCTGTTTCTTCTGCCTGGGATGCCCTCTTATTTGTTCATCTGGGCATCCCACCAGGCCAGGCAGAACTCTGCCTCTCCTGGGAAGCCATCCCTCATTCTTCTGGCAAAGCAGACACTCATTTTCCTGTGTTCTCTCGGTGCCTTGAACAGAACTTTTCTTGCAATCACTTTGTTTATGTATTTATTTGTTGTTGTTGTTTTAGAGACGGAGTCTTGCTCTGTCACCCAGGCTGGAGCTCAGTGGCACAATCTCGGCTCACTGAAACCTCTGCCTCCTGAGTTCAAGCAATTCTCCCACCTCAGCCTCCTAAGTAGCTAGGATTATATGCGCGTCACCACCCCCAGCTAATTTTTTGTATTTTAATAGAAACGGGGTTTCATCATGTTGCCAAGGCTGGTCTCAAACTACCTGACCTCATGATCCGTCCATCTCGGCCTCCCAAAGTGCTGAGATTACAGGCGTGAGCCACTGCATGCAGCCTGTGTTTTCATTTTTATTTATTTTTTTAGAGATGGAGTCCTGCTCTGTTGCTCAGGTCTCGGCTCACTGCAACCTCTGCCTCCCAGGTTCAAGTGATTCTCCCCTCTCAGCCTGTCCAGTAGCTGGGATTACAGGTGCATGCCACCACACCCCCGCTAATTTTTGTATTTTTAGTAGAGGCGGGCATGTTGGCCAGGCTGGTCTCAAACTCCTGGTCTGAAGCGATCCATCTACCTCAGCCTCCCAAAATGCTGGGATTAGAGGCTTGAGCCACCGTGCCCGGCCGCAATCACTTGAACATTTTATATTTTTTGTTCTCTTTTGAGATTGTGAATTCCTTGAAGGCAGAAACTGTATTTGATTCTCTTAAAATCCCCAGCATCTGACACGGTGCCTGGCACATAGCGGGAACTTTGTAAAATGTCTGTTGAGTATGTAATTTGACAAAAGAAAGTATGGCAGCTGGGTGCGGTGGCTCACACCTGTAATCCTACCACTTTCAGAGGTCGAGATGGGAGAATCACCTGAGCCCAGGAGTTCAAGACCAGCCTGGGAAACACAGGGAGACTCTGTCTCTGAAAAATAAATAAATAAATAAATAATAAAGAGTTCCAAGTCACAAAGCCTGTTGCGCTAAAGGTGCATTCAGAACACAGCACAGGAGGGAGGGTGCTCCCTGGAGTCTCAGCAGATGCGATGACATTCGAAGCAGTCCTTGACGGATAGGAAAGTGTTCAGTAGGTGGTGATGGTTGCTCCAGAGGAAACTGACAACATATGCAAGGGGGCCAGGTGCTAGAAACACCATGGTGCGCTCAGGGAAGTCCCTGGTGTCAGAGCAGCTGGGGGCTTGGGTTCCTGTTTGGTGCAATGACACCTAAAGCTAGAAGGGGATGTGACATCATCAGAGCTCTGACTAGGCAGGTGCAGAGACTCCGGTCAGGCAAAAGAGGATGAAGGCTTACATGTGAATTCATTAATCCATTCATTCATTTGTTCCTCCAACATGAGTCATCCTCCTGCACACCAGATACAGAGCCAGGTACAAAGACACATGTTGAACCCAGGAATGAGAGTGATGTCAGATGCTGGAGATGGCCTCGGCCTCCGCCGGCCACACTACAAACCCACCCCTGAGCTCCTCTGCTCCCGGGCTCCCCTCCATGTCCTGCCCCTCAACCCCGTGTCAATTGCTTACCTTCCAGACATGGAACAAGCTTCTCTCGAGACGTCCTCACCAACTCACAAGCTGGAAAAGACCCAGGGGTTTACCTTTGGGACTAGGGTATGGCTGGGATGGGCTGGATTCAAGGATGGATGAGATGACATGGAGAAACAGAGATGGATGGACAGAAGGGAGGGAGGAAGGAAGGAGTGGGGAAGCGGGGATGGGTGGATGGCTGCATGCAGCAGAAGATTCTCTGGGTAGAATTATTTCACTGGGGTCCCGAGGCATCCCTTCCTGGAGCAGATCCCTCCCAGCGCTCACCTTTGTACTTGGTCCAGAACACATCCTGAAAAACAAGGGCTGGGAGTGAGGCTACCGCGGGTCCTGTTTGTTTTAGTAAACGTTATGTCTCCTCCTCATACTTTCCTTTACCTAGTCACGCAGGGGGCAGGCTCTGGGAGGTTTGTGGCAGAGCTTCCTACTTTTGTTTCCAAAGGAAGAAAAATATTTGAGGGTAGGGGAGTTCCTCCAGCACACACACTGAAACCGAACAGGGCTGGGGAGAGGGGAGAAGAGGGGACCGCAGGACCCTGGCAGAGCCCTACAGGCAGGGAAGGCGACGCAGGGCTCCAGGAGCACTGAGTCTTGAGTCTGGGGCTCCTAGTGGCCTCCCCAGAGTCCCACCCCTCAAGGGTGGCAGAGGAGGCTGCCGCTGAGGAGGCCACGTGGACCCAGGCCAGGGTAGATGGATGTTTGAAGACTGAGGAGGCCTCCCTCATGTCATGGGGCTGCACAGGACAGCCACAAGAACCTCAAGAAAAGCTGAGGCTGCTCCTCTTGCCAGCCCCGGGAAGAGGGGCTTGGAGTTGAAATGAGGCAGTGAGCAGCAAAGGGGCTGTGGTGTTCCTTGCTCGCCCCACTCTCTGTGGAAGTGTCTAGAGTTGGGCCACTCTGAGGCCCCGGCCCGTCCGAGCAGCCCAGGCTCACCGTGTCCGTGCGGGACTCCAGAGCCTCGAAGGCCTCCTCGTAGCTGCACGTTTCCTCGATGCACTCTCGCTCCAGGTTGCCCTGGCGCATCTCCTCCAGGAAGCCGCTGTTGGCTCGCCGGGCCCGCGGGAGCAGCGACAGCGCTTGCTGACGGGCCAGGAACACTGCAGTGCCGGGGGTGCGGGGGGATGTCATGGAACAGCGGCCTCAGGAGCAGGCTGTCTTGGCCATTGTAGAGACAAGAAGCCTGACCTGCCCTGCTGGCTTCCGAGAGGGGCTGTCTGGGCTGGTGGAAGTGCCTGGAAGGCTGCTGTGGCCCCCTGTGCCCCTCCTACACTGCCCCTTGCCCCCAACCTGCTCCCCATATTGGAAGAGAGAAGCAGCCATTCTCTGTCAGGCCCTGAGCTCCCGACTTCTTCCCTCAGGTGGCCGCCTGGGGCTGAGACCTACCTTGGGACCAGCTCTGTGTGCTCTGTCCAGCCAGGAGACCCCAGCCCATGGGCCCACACCCCAATCCTCCAGCCTGTCCCAGCCTGCAAGCACCCCCTTACCATGCTGGCTGTGCACAAGGCTACACAGGGCAGCCAGGGCCAGGCAGCCAGGCAGCCGCAGGCCTCGGACGTGCGCCATAGTGGGGCAGCTCCTGGGTCACTGAGCGATTGTCCACCCTGACCCCTCTGGGTTAATGTTGAACTAACATGAAGAAATCAGTGGAGAGGGTGAGGTCAGAGGGTCAGGGCCATGGGGACAAGTGGGTAGATAGTCCTCCTGTCCACCCCCGCCATCCGAGAGGACAGATCCTCCTGGGACCAGGGATGGATGGTCAGGAGAGTCACAAAAAAAGGTCACTGTCACCATCATCTCCCACCCTCCCTCTCTGAGACTCAAGCCGACTCTGACCAGTGGAGCTTCAAGACTTTCCTGGAGCTCCTTCCAATCCTAACATACAGTGGTGTTGCTTTTAATCTCTGTGTGCCTCAGTTTCCTCATCTGTACAATGGAATAATACCTTTTTTTTTTTTTTGAGACAGAATTTCTCTCTTGTTGCCCAGGCTGGAGTGCAGTGGCATAATCTCAGCTCACCACAACATTCACCTCCCAGGTTCAAATGATTCTCCTAACTCAGCCTCCCAGGTAGCTGGGATTGCAGGCATGTGCCACAACACCTGGCTAATTTTGTATTTTTAGTAGAGATGGGGTTTCTCCATGTTGGTCAGGCTGGTCTCGAACTCCTGACCTCAGGTGATCCGCCCACCTCGACCTCCCAAAGTGCTGGGATTACAAGTGTGAGCCACCACAGCCGGCCAGGAATAATACTTTGTTGAGAGGACTAAAGGAGATTAAGAATGAAAAACCCATGGAATATCATAAACTCTGGGTAATTAGTAGATCTCTGCATGTAAGCCAATGTGGCGGTTTGTATTACAATAAACAGATATCAAAAATAGAGACAAAGATAAAATGTGTGGCCTGATGGAAGTTACCCCTCGACCAAGGATGCACCAGGGATAGTGCCCCAGCCTCTCAGCCACTGGAGGAGAGGCCTATTTTCCTCTTTCCCATCCAGGGCACCTGGAGGCATGTTTGTGTGTGGCAGCTGCCTGGGAGGAGGAGTCAGATCCAGAGATTCTTGGGCCTTTGGTCTATCCTCTGTCACTTCCCAGGACTTGCACCTGTCCCGGAACAGGGGCTAGTCCAAATCCCTGGGTCTCCACTACAGGGCCCTCCCTCTCCCTCCCTCCCTGCCTGCCCCAGGCCAGGCTAGCAAGGCTTCTGGTCCTACCCTGCCCTCCTCTGCCCAGCCCTACTCCTGTCCCTCCTCCATTCCCTGTTTGCAGTACAAAAGGCAAATATTAGTCCCGGGTCTAAGTAGGACAGAGGGACAAAGAGCAGGAACACCAGGAGGCACAAGTTCTCGCCTCACCTGCCCTTTGGGCCTGGCTGTTGGAGGTCTGGACCAGGTCATGCACCGTGTGGGAAGGGGGAGCGTTGGCAGAAAACTGGAGACCAGGACTCCCACAAAGACCTTAATTCCTGGGAGGTCCATTTCTTATATATT